ATGATGTTGATAATGTGTTGATGGAAGATAATGAAGGACAAGAAGATGATGATGATGATAATGATGATGATGGTGACGATGATTATGATGCTAATTAAGATGATGATGATGTTAATGAAGAAGAAGAGAACGATGATAATGAAGATGATGAAGATGATGATGATGATGATGGTGACGATGATTATGATGCTAATGAAGATGATGATGATGAAGATGATGGTAATTGACGATTATGATGATGATGATGAAGATGATGGTAATGATGATGATGATGATAATCGATTGAACATAGATGGCTGCGAAGCATTAAAAATGTTGACATGTTCAGATGATCACGTGGTGTGAACACTGTTTTCCATCGATTTATTTCCTCCTAACTTGACATTCTCTTCTTCACGCTACGAATTAAGCCTTAATTCTTCATGCATGAAAATTATTTTAAAATAATAAAAATTTTTTAAGCTATAATTAATTTTTACTTTAAAAGAATTATTTCGTATTATAAATTATAAAAGAAAATAAATTTCTGCAAAATGCCCGACGGCTTTCCATAGCAAAGAAGGGCATGCAGTTATAAATCGACGTGCAAACGAACAGCGAAAGGAAATAACTGACGTCGTTTGCGATTTGTTCGTTTGGAAGTTTGATTAAAATGGCCGCTGATCTGAGTGACGAGGAACACGACATCGACATCGAAAGTGACGTAAGTTTCATTCCTAATCCTAATTTCACTTCCAAGTTTTAATCCATCGCCTATCCATCGCTGGCTCGCCAATTGTTTATTCTTAAATTTTCTTTTGTTTTTTTCATCACAGGATGATGATTTAGGGTCGACAACCGGCGGATTGAACTTTCTTTCCGAGGTTTTTTAAATTTTTAATATTCATTTATTTTATTCTCTTTTTTCAGTGAATTTTTTATGATATTTGTTGAAATTTTGTGGTGATATGTTGGGGAATTCGAGTTGTTGATTGTAATCGTAGATTGGCCACCCCTCAAATGGTCAAAATGGTATGTTTATTTACATCTGTCACGTTTTATGCTATGAATGGTGCCTGGTGCACATAACTAGAATAAATATAATGGCTTTCGCTCACTTCTAAATGGTCGAACAAGGAGCTTACTTCTGGAGGGGTGTTGGAGGGGGATTTTTTATCATTCTACAATTTACAATCGTATATTTACGAATATTGCTTTTTAAATAAATGATAAAATTTTAATTTTTTTTTCATTGTTATTCAATGTGGTAATTAATTACTTTTATTTGGTATAAATTTAAAAAAATAAAATCGACATTGCCGAAAATAATTAAAAGTTAAAAAAATTAAGATTCTTTGCATATCTCTGTTTCAACTCATAAGAAAGTGTTGTATATTGGTGAATAGGCCTCACCTTGGCCTTGTGTTATAAAAATTCTATTGATGATGCCTTTAGTTTAATTTAAAAATTTTTTAAATTAATTATTCCATTAAATTAAGTTTTTATTTTGATTTAATTTTTATTATGCTTATCTTATATATATGTCCTGGTTATGACATTAAACTATGTCCTGGTTATGACATCAAACTGACCCTCACTGACTTGTGAGTGATGTTGGATCATCAAAGGCTTGGCCCACCGCTTATAACTGGTTGCGTAAGGAAGAGCATCCTGCGTAAAAATTAGCCAAATAAATTACTTATGATGGAATGGCGTCGAGGGGTATTTCGGTTTCATCATAGGTAGCCAAACGGCAACCCCGATCTCAGGGAAAATGTCGTCTAAACGTGTGTTGTTGTTGTTGTTATGCTTATCTTATACCTAATGTATAATATATTATCTATTATGACATTATGTCAGGACCATATCATCTGATCATCAATAATAATCACGGAGAACCACCATGTGACAAAAAAAAATTAGGCTTCATTAGCATTTTCATTCCAATTGTGAACGATGACTTGTTGTTTTGTATAATGAGCTAAGAAATTATTTTCTTTTAAAATTATTTGTGATTTAATTCTTATTCTTAAATTAAATCTAAAAATTTTATTCTTATTCTTAAATCGTGTTTAATTTAAACTTTAAAGTTAAGCAAAAGTACTGAAATCAGCTATCTAGGTAGTTATAAAGAATAAATAAGTATTAATTAAGATTTAAGTCTAAAAGTAAGTAGGGCTTCTAGGTATTCGAAATATTCGACTAATCAGAAAATCTTGATTTAGTATTTTCATTGTTTAAACCAAATTCATCATTTAATTTCATTTTCATATATGATCTTTGCACTCATTATTTATTTGGTATAAGTAAAATTATTAGAGTTGGTGCTATTGGAAGATTTTACCTAATAAAATGTTATTAATGGCAATGAGAGGAATTCAACGGTGATGCTAATTATAAAAGATCATAAATTATCACCATATATTTAATTTATTCATTGATCTAAATGCCATTATCTGTAAAAAAAATGATTGCTGAAGAAATCCAACTTTGCAAAAATTTAGTTTAAAAAAATTGATACCAAATGTCAGTAACACATGGAGAAGGTTGATGATGAGGACGATGATGAATGATGTTGACGTTATGTATGACGTTGATGAATGATGTTAATATTAACGTTGAACATGATGATAACACTGATGATGTTAGTGATAATGGTGGTGATAATAATCCTGATGACGATGATGATGACAATAATATAATAGGCAGACAAGAAGGCCCATCACAATGATGATGTTAAGAATAATGATAATAACTACAAAGATGATAATATTAATGATAATGATGATGATAAAGATGATGTTGTTAATGGTAATGATGATGATAATTGTTGATGACGATGATGACATCGTAACGCAGGCTGACAAGAAAGCCCACCACAATGCGCTGGAGAGGAAGAGGAGGGACCACATCAAGGAAAGCTTCACAAAACTCAGAGACTCCATACCTGAAACCAAAAAAGAAAAGGTAAATTATCATCATTTTTTTTTCCTTTTTTACAATAATGGTAGTATTGCTGATGTTTATTCATTACGGTTTTAGTGATAATGGTTGTCCTTTTACTGATTCATAATTCTTTTGCTGATGAATACTCATTTTTTTCCTGATAAATATTCATAATCTTTTTACTGATGTGTATTTACAATCTTTTTACTGATGAATATTCACAATCTGATTACTCATGAATATTCATAATTTTTTTACTAATGAAATATTTGATGAATATTATAATTTTTTTACTGATGAATATTTATAATCTTTTTACTGATGAATATTCATAATCCTTTAACGGCCACCAGACATCACGTGCATTAATATTGAAGCGAGCGACGGACTACATAAAATTGATGAGCCAGCGTAACCAGACGAGGCAGAAAGAGATTGAGAAGATGAAACGACAGAATCAAATACTCAGGCAACAAGGTTGTTGTTGCTGCTGCTGCTTCTGCTGCAGTTGTTGTTGTAGCTTCTGTTGTTGTTGTTATAACTGCTGTTTAACTTGATTATTTATGGTGATGTTGATGAACCTCAAGCATTTATTGTAAGTTTGATAATTATGAAATTAATTTAAAACTGAAAATAGACGTTTTTATATTCTATTAAATACACATCTTAGAGTAAACAAACTTGAATGTACTTAGAGGAAATACAATAAATCCGCGCCTTTGGGAGGTTTTTTTCATAAGAGGTGCTATAAATATCATCAAATTCAAATACAAATAAGCGAGATATTCATAAAAGTTAGTAATCTCATTAATCAGCCAGACGTTGAAACAATGAAATTCATATTAATGACCACAGTGCAGGCAGCCGAGCGAGCTCAGGCCAACGGTTCCTTAATCCTTTCTAACACGTACCTGCCTCCCGGATCACTCAACCACCACCACAATGATTTTGATATGTCCGAGTCAGAGGAGGAAGGATCAGAAGAGAATGTCGACCACACAATGACCACCACACCATCCTCCAACGTCAACATAAGCAATGGATACACTGGGACCTCTAAGAGGGCTAAATTAAGAAATTAATTGACTAATTGATTAATTAATTGTTCGATCGATTGGTTGATTTATTGCTTCTTTAATAGGTTGATCGATTGGTTTTTTGATGATTCGATTGATTGATTGATTGATTGAATAATGGATTGATTGTAAAATGTTAGAAATTTTTGTTCACTTTCTTTCAGTCAGTCAATTGCATTTGGATTGAATTTGAATTTGTGGCTGTTGTTGCAGTAAATGATTTTTTTTTATTTGTAAAGTTAAGGTTAGAATTAATTATATTGAAGATTGGAAATATATCTTTACACATGCTCTGACCTAATTTAAGAATTCAGTCAATGGTTGATTGTAGATTTATATAGGTCATGTCATATTTATTATTCCTTTTGTTTCTATATATATTTCTATATCCCTTTTTTTTCTAAATATGAAACTGATCTTAAATAATAATGCATTAATTAGTGTTCTTACCAGCCCAATCCTTATTACAATACAACGACAACCTAGCACGTATACAGACTACGCTGACACCACGTACACATATGCACGCACATGCAAACCACACTTATATATAAACCTTACATACATACACACAGAGATGGGTAGTTATAGTTACCAACTATAAATACTCAAGCTGTAGTTTGTAACTACTTATTTTTTAAGTAGTTTATTACTGCTAATTAACTACCCTTAAAATAGTTATTAACTATTATAGTTAACTACTTTTTTTTAACTATTTAAAAAACCACATATACAGGCAAAAATTTTAAAAATTTAAATTTGATCAAAAATTGTCAGTTATCTATGCAACTCATCACGTGTCCCTGTGCTTTAACAAAGAAGGTAACCACGTGCAAGTAATACAGCTATAAAAAAGTTTCATGTTAAATATATATATCATATATATATATATATATATATATAACATGAAATATATATATATATATATATTTCAATAACAATGACAAATTTCCTTGAAACTGAGTAATGTAAAAACGGTTGAAATTTCAAGTACACTGGTATTCTTATGTTCGTGAGATGAGATAAACTTTTGAATTTGTATGGCAGAGGCGTGTGTTGGTTAACAACGTTTACTGGAGGCCAAAATATTTAAAATGTTGAATTTTTGAGATTTGACGAGGGATGGGGTGGCAAGGAACTGATCAATTTTTTTCTTTAGCCCAAATTACGCTGGCAATATATATATATATATATACATACACACATGTACACAAGTGTGTATATAGTACACAAGTGTTTGCTACTGTGTGTTATTTAAGAGGGTAACCACGTGCAAGCAATACAGCTATAAAGAAATTTCAAAAAAAGATATATAGGCAAAGATGTGGTCGACACATACACAGTAACACGCACACCTGGAACGGTGTAGGCAGGCTAAAAACCATTAAATGCGATTGTTGCACAAATCTGGCTCCGGCCAAATTTCTGTTTGCAAATTACCGATGATTAAGCATCTCTTTGACCATCATATTTCTGCATCTCTTCAGTGTGGCCAGGCAACTTCTAAGTGATGAACGCTGCAGGGTTGTCTGATAAGCATGTTGATAAAACGATTCTTTTGAGAGAAAGACTTAAAAAAACATTATTGATTATAGAATATTTTATTTGGGGAATAACTGTTTATTTACTTTTAACATTTAGCAAATAAATCTGGTGAATGAAAATATTTATAAGTAGCTAGGCAGTTGTTAAGAAGTAGTTAATAACTACTGCAAACCAAAATAGTTGAAAAATAGTTATTAACTATTTTTAAACTAAGTAGTTAACTGTAGTAGTTAACTACTTTTTTGGAGTAGTTAACACAACACTGCATACGCACATACATCGCACATATAATACATACACATCACACACACACGTCATTGTGTGTCTTAGTTGCTCTGTTGATAAGAAATAATCCTGCATAACAATTATATTTTAGTGAATTAATAATTTTAATTATTATCAATAAACAAAATATTTATAACCAATAATATTTTAGATACATAAATAATAATGTGTATATCAGTGAATATAGATACTTTTCGACTGATAGTATTTTAATTTGATTATTTTAAATAATCTCCTCCGCTTATTTTTTTTGACATTTTTGAAATATACGAAATGTAAAGAGAAAGTTTTCTGACTATTTTTTTAATTTTATTCAAAAGAAAATTCAAAACAACATGATGAAATGTGTCAAACGGTGCTAATTTTCTTACATTGTTAGGTGCAAATCTAAGATTATATGTTGATAACATATTTAGGGATTGCTGCGAAACGATGTTGGATAGATTTCCAAACCAAGGCATGACTACCTAGATATTTCCAATCTTTTCTGTATCAGCCGAACTCTTTTAATAAACCAAGTTCGGATGATACAGAATAAAATATTGATTACACCGAGGTTGTCATTCTTTCCTTGGATGAAATAACTTAAAAACAAACATTTAAAATAGAATTATTAAATGATATAAAAATATTAATATAATATAAATAATAATAATAAATGATATAGAAGGTCATCCAAAATCGTTAAAATCTGTTGTAGATGTTTTACATCGTATAAAACAACACAAATTTAATACATACGTTAACGGTGGTCACCGATTTTGAATATAAAAATACTTTGGGTAAAGATGCTACTGACACGTGATTGAAGAGTTATGTAAAATATAAGCTTATGAACATACACAGAATTGCTACCAATATGTGGTTAACATTTAAACAGTTTTATAAAATAAAAATTGGTGCGAAATTTTTATTTACAAGATTTTTTCTAAAGTGTTTACGTGAAAAAGCTGTTAATTATTTAGGAAACAAAAAGTTGCCAGTTAAATCTTGCCAACATATTTTAACGCTTGAAGTTGGCAAACTGATCTAACAAACTGATTTCAATGCCTTACAAATTTCCTGAATAGTCGTAACGGGCGGTCCAAAATGTCCAAGATGAGTTCGTCGTCAGATTTCCAACTTGGTAGCCGTTCCTGTGTTTGTTCAGTTCGCAGGTCTTCAGCGCAGGATTGTAATTGAAGGAGTCGCACGAGTAGTCTCCTACTTTCATGCATTGTTTGATGCATTGCAGAGGCTTGAGAACCTGTACCTCCATGAACTTGTAGTTGATCAGCTGTTTGTTTTTCGTTGATCTCCATTTTGTCTCTGTGAACAATATGCTTGAATATGGAATGAATTTTTGTTTCTATTTTATTGTAAAACTAATTATTAATAATATTTCCAGCATCTTAAAATCAATTTTAATTATTCGAATTTTAACATCAAAGTTTCAATTTCAATGTTGCTCTAACGTTTGATTTGTGGATCAGTTGGAAACGCTTCCAACTCACAAACCGCCATGTGAGCATCACTTGCACCATCTGCTTGATGAACGAAAATGTAGCGGTAGGCGGGTAGGTTGGCGTTGCACTGAAGGGTGACTCGGGTGGCTCTGGGGACATCACCGGGGTACATGGCACACAAGGGGTATTGACCTCTGATGGGGGCAACCACGTTGCAGCTTTTCGATGTCAGACCAATTGAAAAATTTGTGAGACGTTGAGCATCTGAAATTTTATCGTTTTAACTATGCATAAATTATTTTGAAAAATATTTGGAGTTATGTATAAATAATCTGTACATACATTTTTCATTTTTTTTTATTGAATTTATTCTCACTGGCAGTAGAGCTGGCATCTCTGCTAACGAGGGCAACGTAGCCGATGAAGTGAACCTGAACCATGTCCACTTGGATCCAGTTCCTTGACCACACCGCTTCATTGCAGTGGGCACAATGACCGTGCAGTAGGGTGGGGTCTCTTATTCCGTCAACCATTAGTCCAGCAATCATTGGAAAGCTTAGACCTGTTAAACTGTTGGTGTTCCAAAAAGAAGAAATCATGGTGACGCTCTTCCCTTGCAAGATGTTTGTTCTTTGTGGTAGCTCTGTATCAAAAAAAATTGTCGAAATTATTTGATTCAGGACTTTTCAATATTTCTGGTAGAAATAATTTCACTTCCAAGATATGTTTTTAGAAGGATGTTTGTTATATTAAAATACAAAACCCTCAAACGAATGTTTCTTCAAAATGTTTATGGTCAGCCCAGATCGGCTGACCATAACGGCTGCCAGTTTATTTGGTTTAATATACATTCACATAGGTAATTTAGAGAAGCAAAAAGATCTATCCGACTATTGAAAAAAACACCTGGACAATTCTGTTGCACCGTTAATAATGGCTGAAATGCAATTCATTCAATTTACATATGTGATGAATAAGATGAATTTGAAGAATTAAACTGACCATCGTCATAAAGGCCCTCCACAACAACTTCACAAACGTTCATCTTAACAATCGATGTTGCACTCTGATCTAGTGTAACGAACCTACTGGAATATTCAGCTGGACACTGGAATGAAACGTTCGTTTGGGTCAGTTGGCTGGTCACGTTGGGGCAAGGTGCTATCGTTTTGAAACTCAAATCCGTCAGTTTGACGTTGAACATATCTGAATGTTCAAATTTATTTTAATCTTCTCATGGTTCTACCAATGATATTTGATATTTATAAATTTGTTTCCTTTAACAAAATGAAATTTATTTAAATTAAATCAAAAAAGAAGTAAATTAAAATTTCATTAGACAAAATATATTTAAAAAATACTATACAAAATGTAATTAAAATAATTAATGTCTTGTTCGAAAAACGGGAGCTAACTTGTCAGAAGTTTTTCAAAAACATGAACAAAATCTACTCGATACGACCAGAGCAGATCAATTTGGATCCATTGATAAGCAGACGCCAGCGAGACATAACAGTACGGAGGTGTGTAGATACCATCCAACACCAAGAATCCATTATAAGGAGCTTTTGAGGAGCTTTCTCGAACCATTTTCCCCAAAGCGACATTGGTTTGAGCGTTCGACGAACAACTGGAAAGACAAAAAATTACAAAAATCCTTGTCGCAACAAATTTGTCTACCGTAGCTACAGTCATTTCTTCACTTCTTTACGAACTTGCGCCAAAAAAAGAAGCAACTAAGCACTGAAAACGTTTGAAAAAGAGGATAATGTAGAAATGTTAGCAAAGTAAGTCAGTAAAGACCTTTCTTTCTTATTGTTTTGTTTTGTGTTTGTTCCTTCACTGAGCTCAGAAATAAAAACATTTCAATCAATGATGGATGAGTTAGCACATTTGCAGAAAATCGATGCTTAGTTGGGTCTTTACAAGTATGTATATATATATATATATATATATATATATATATTATATATATATATATATATATATATCGTGTGGCTAGTAAATGTCACAAGACTATACAAATTGCGTTTAATACATGGATTTGAAATATGAAATTTATTTGAGAAGTGTACAAAAGGTTATCATTAATAATCACGCTATCTCGTGTAATATGAATAATATCTATCCGATCGATGTGTATGTTTGCTTGTATGTATATGCGTATATGTGTTGTTTGTGTATAGGAATATGTACGTGCATGTGTGTATGTGTATGTGCATGTTTGTATATATGTGCATGTTTGTGTGTCTGTATATGTGTGTATGTATATGTACAGTTTTTGTATATGTGCATGAATGTGTGCAACTACAGTGAGGTTTCAGAGACCTCGCAAACCAGAATTTGAAAACTCGTCACATAGTTCTTAGCCTTTCTACAAAAAGTCGAACCGAAGCGAGCAGTATATCATGGTCCTGTTCATCTAACTGAACTGAGCGTTAGATCTGACCAAATCGAAGCAAATCTTATGCGTGCATGTATGTTTGTGTGTATGTATGTATGTTTGAGTGTATGTGCAATTGTGCATGTGTGTGTGGTGAGTGTGTGTGTGGTGTTTGTGTGTGTTGCATGTATTTTTTCAGATTAAGAAGTTTTATTAATAGGTTTTCGTGATATCATAATGAAAGATAATACTTTTTTCCCCTAACACCTCACTACCAATCAAGTCATAACCTCAACTCAACTCACGTCATATATCATCAAATCACATCACCACGCCTTTCATTACAGTATGTAATACACTTAACAATGTATGTAGTAGAATACTAATTTGAGTAAATTTCTGACGGTAAAATCACATTACATTACAAAGTGATGTCACGTGATGTGTCATGACGTCACGATATCTCGGCCGGAAGTTTAGATGAAAACTGAAACTTTGAAAACATCCCGCATTTAAAATTACACTTCGTGTCAATCTTTTTTTACTTGACAATCAATAACATTCTAAAAGTTGTATAAAATGTAAATGTCGCTTACTATGTATAAAATTGTTTTTGTTAAATTTTAATGACAGAGGTAATATGTAAAAAAAAGAGATGATGTTTTATTTAATTATAATTTCTAGTTGACATATGTTAATTTGTGTACATTTGGGTTCAGGTGGCTGTGCTAGATGAGCTCTCTATGAGGTTTATCACAGTCATCCTGGATTTATTTTTTAAGAATGAATAAAAAATCGTATCGTATCAGATCGTATCATACATACATGCATACATGCTTGTATGTATGTATGTATGTATGCATGCATGCATACATACATACATAAATACATACATACATTCGTGCATACAAACAAACAAACATACAAACATACATACATACATACATACATACATACATACATACATACATACATACATACATACATACATACATACATACATACATGCATACATACATACATACATATATATATATATATAAAACTTTGTCGACTGAAGAAAAGGAAATATAGAAAATATTTTTTTCATCTGCCCGTCGGAGTGAGTGGATTGCTGCTTTGCGAACTAAAACTAAATGTTTCTCAAAAAACATTGTTATTGGAAAACACTGGTAAAGGAAAACAACAAAAACCGTAAAAATTTGTGAAAACTAATTAATAAAATCATTTGCAAAAATTATGTTAACGAATCGTCTCATGAAGATGTTGACATCACTTGTTCCCAATTTATTGGTTATTTTGAAGAAAAAATCAACAAAATAAAACGAGACACCAAAGTAGTTGACAAACCAGTTTTTGATGGATGTAAATTAAACAGTGGCTCTTTGTTTTCAAAATTTGCAGTGTTTTCAGAAGTAGATGTAAAAAAAATGTTCATAATATACCATCTAAGTCTTGCATGGCAGACTTCCTTCCTACTCACATTTTGAAAAAAACATATAGACCTCTTCATCACTCTTCTCACAAGTTTAGTTAATTTATGTTTGTGTGATGAAGCGTTTTTTGTTTCTTGCAAACATGCGGTTGTGATACCCATTTTGAAAAATCAAACGCAGATTTTAATGAGCTCTGGAACTATAGACCAATATCTAACATTTGTTTCATCTCCAAAATCATAGAATGTGTCGTAGTAAGTGAACTTGTAAATCATTTAAATAAACATAATTTGTTCCCGATTTATCAATCTGGATATAAACGTTACCATTCTACAAAGACGGCATTGCTATATGTTTTTTCCAAATTACTTGCCTCCATCGACAAACTGACACACACACACACGTTGTTGTTGATGTTGATGATGATGTTTTTCTAATTTGAATTCATAATTTGAATAGTCAATTTTTTGTTGCAACTTTGTGCAATAATTAGAATAATTTGAAAACAAAGGCAAATTGTTTTGATGATGATGATGACGATGACGATGATGATGACGATGTTTGATTATGATGATGATGATGATGTTTATAAACCAGATTCTGCACAGTTGTCTGCATTTTTTTAACGAGCCTATATTAGTGCAACAGAACTAAGATTTCGTATTTTTTTTGACCAGTGATTTCAACTTTCACATTGAAAGGGCTAACGAAAATCACAGGTGACATTTACAGGTCGCGTAACAAATTAAGTGAAGATTTCTCATTTCTGTTTGACATACATACATACATGCATACATAAATGAGAAATTTGAATTAAATAAAGCAGCATCTCTTTTTTTACACATTTCCTCTGTCATTAAAATTTAACAAAAACGATTTTAAATTTCTTTTGAACATAGCAAGTGGTAGTGTTTTACTGCATGAAAAATCATTTTTTTAAATGTCATTCCAAATCCTTGGTCCTCTACAGGCAACATGAGCATGAAACAAATTTGTTCTCAATTTGCTGGTCATCGGATAATTGACACGTCTAGGGCTGTTGGCTATTTTAGTCTAAGTCTAGAAAGTTATTAGTAGCGCAGAGCAAGCTTCGTATTGGTTGTGGCTTAATAGAAAAAAAGAAGAGTCGGCTATATTAGCAAGCCAGGGCTACAGTGATACGATTTCGTAAGAAAATATGAAGCTGAATTTTGTATAAATAGCAAAACAACACAGCTGGAAAATCAATAGTCATCGAGAAGCGTTCGAGAGATCAACGAACGTGGCACGGTCCCCGAGAATGTAAAGAGGTTGTTCAGGGCTGATACATTTAAATAAATTTTCAAATAAAATAGATTTGCAAATTGTTATGATGATGAGGATGATGAAGCAGATGATAATACATATAACGATGATGGTGATGTCAATTTGTTTATGTAAATGATGTGTAAAATTATGTAAAATTGAAACATCGATTTTTCATAAAAAATTTATTTTTCATAAATGCAAATTCAACGAAACGTGATGTTTTGCTCAAACAATATTTAAATTAATGAAATGAAATAATAAAATATGTAAATTATTATCACGAGAAAATATTATGAAATTATATAATAAAATTGTTTGTAACGTAAATAATAAAATAAATTATGAATCAGACATCAATGTTGAAATGTTACATTACAATAACAACCACTATAATTTACGCCTAGCCGAATCAATATTCATAGAACAATGTTTGTAGTTTGTTTTTTCGATTTTTCTCACTAAAGTTTTTGGTGAACGTTTAGTTTATTAAAATTCAAAATAAACTTATTTTCCGAATTCATGCTGCAAATAAGGCCATATTTCGATTCCGGATGAATCATCATCAGTGCGATTTCTTATATAGGGAAGTATTCACTTTGACAAAGTGGACTTAGACGGAAATTAGGTGTCAGGTTTTTTTTATTGGCTGGTTAATCTTCTTGGTTTCCTTTTCTTCATCGATAGCATCATATTCTTCTTTGTCACTATTTACAATGCTAGTTTTTATTACTTTGTTTTCATTGTTTATTAAGCGCCGGGTTGGGAGTGAGGTTGTCATTTTTTGTTGTATATTTATTTTTGGTTTATTGATGTCAATTAGGACTGCTTCTGCAATTTTAAGATGATATATATATATATATATATATATATATATATATATATATATATATATATATATATATATATATATATATATATATAAATATATACACACGCACAGTTACAGCTCTTCTGAAGCCACTTTATACATACAAAAAATATATATATACATACAAACATGCACACATACATATATTCATACATACACACATTCATACTTACATACACACATACATATACACAAACATACATACATGCATAGATACACAACACACATACATACCTACATTTTTACAAACATACATAATAAAATATTGTTTGAAAAGACTATATATAATTGGCTCGTTAACCGGTTTGTTTGCAGGTTTTTCGTAAACAATTCAAAGTTTTTATATTTTAATCTGAATAATTTGTTTATTCGTCAACTAGAAGATGAAAGTTTATTTATTGTTCTTCTTCATGGTTTAAAGTGTAGTTGAGTCGGATCACGTGCAAGGTAGGTTAATATTGTAGAAAATCAACAAAACAAAATAATGAAATTTATTTTTTGTTTAATTTTCAGCAAATCCAAACTGGAACGTCGACATCAACAATCCAAAAAGTAACTTTTTTAATTTTATACAATTTAACTTAATTCAACCAAAACTTCCCAGTTTACGATCGTCTTCTCGCTCTCACTTCTTCTTAAATCTTGTTAAACACTCTTATGCTGAATCTGCGTTTGCTTTTTCTGGCCCTTTTACTGGAACTCACTACCTTCTTTTTAAACTACTCCTCCATCACTAACGAAGTTCAGAGCAGATTTCGTGACCCATCTGTTTGTGAAATTTTTTGAGGAGCACTGTTGAATATCGCGAAAATAGCTCTTTATAAACTATTTGATCGATACGTTGATCGATAGATTGATTATTTTAAACCAAAAAATTCAAAAATCTTTGAAGATGGTCCAAATGCATGGGGTGAAACATTCAGTGATGACGTAAGTACTCAAAAAATGTACTTAAGTATAAGTACTAAGTGCTCAGTAATAAAAGTACTTAAGTATAAGTACTATGTACCAAAACAAATTGTATACTTGATACTTATAAGTACTAAGTACATAAGTACCTAAGTACATACCATGGTTAATTTGAAATATTTATAAATTTATTAAACTCAGAAATCAACTCATTATTTACAGTAATTTATTTACATCAATAAAAGAGTTTGTTCTTTTTGAGTAAAAGTAAAGTTTCAAATGATTCATCACTTAAACGATTTCTTTTAGGAGTGAGAATCATTCCAGCCTGGCTAAATATACGTTCCACAGGTGCTGATGATGGCACAGTGGTATTGTACTTCAAAAACACTTGTGCGACAGCAGGATACCTAAGGAACAATAATATAGTTGTTAACCGAAATAGCAAATTATTAATTTGTTATTAATACTTGAGA